TCCAACAACCCTGAGGTAGATATTTTCAAAATCCCCGTTCCATCCCCACATATCATTATAGTTAAGGAAACTGAGGCTCAGAGAGGTTAAGTAAATCAACCAAGGTCAAACCCAGCTGGTAAAAAGCAAAACTAGAAATCTGAATTTAAGATACTGAACTCTAAAACCCATGTTTTTAAACACTATGCTAGTTTGTTTCCCTTGAAAGTTAAAGGGCACATGCTCCTTCCTAAAATGTGAGATCAGATTTTAGGTGGGAAGGGGACAGCTTTTTTGTTTTTTTTTAACTTCTTGTATCAGCTCTTAAACTCTTAAAGGAATGGAGTATCTAGGGATAAGCTGACCACTGGGTCCCTTTCTCCTCTTCCCCTACCTTCCAGGGCCTTTCTAATCTGAGACCTCCATTCCCAGTATCTGATTACTCAAAATACTGTGTCCCTTCCAGCAACTACTGGAATGCAGAGATCAAACTTAGTGACACTGAGCCAAAGACCTGAGAAATTAAGATATTCACAAAATGCCCCTTATCCCTGAACTGCTGGACTCTAATGCACACACATACATTTAGACGAAAATACAAATTTCAGTTCTTCCACCCTGGTTTACCAAGCCCAGCCCCATTCTTGGAGTTTCCTAACAACTGCTCCTCCATCTCCATTCTCTAGGTCCCTCTCCTAACTCATCTTTGAGGCCTCCCTGATCAATGGCCCATAAGACAGCCAATTTCCTAACCTCTGTTCCCCAGAAATGCCCCCCAAAAGTGCTCAGAAGGGCTCCATTCAGGATTCCATGACCCCATGAAGTTGTAGGACAAGTAAAAAGGGACACCAGTGTGAGATAAGCTGATCCAGGATGTACAGAATGAACAAAAAAATTGCAAGACAGAACACAGGCACTAACCAGAGCTACTTGAGTTTAGAAATGGAAGATGGGAGAACAGGGATAACCCCAAAGAGATAGATTCTAATGTCAGTCTACCCATATACTGCAGCCAGAGTTTGAGGGGAAAAGGGGCTTTGGTGAAGGTACTACTGGAGAGACTGGGCAGAGAGGAGCTGAGTAGAAATTGGGGGAAAACTCTGAAAAGGGAAGCTAGAACATCCCTGGAGTTCCTAAAGAGAATGATGTGCCCTATGGGACCCCCTGAGCTACCTTCCATGCACATCCCACATCCATCCTATCTAGGTAAAACTGGTTACACAAGATCACTGCCTGTAGCCCTTGCTAAATTATGCACCAGATTTTGATGTGTAAAAGATCCAGAAATAGGAAACTTACCAAGACAGACAACCCCCATCCTCATTCTTGAGGGCGTCTGTGAGCTAAGGAACATACTACATACAAATCACAAAACTGAAGAACAAATACCAAATGGTGCAAATATTGTCCCTGAAACTTGATGGACAAAGGGATCAAATAAGGTAACTCTGAGACAAGGGAAAATCTAAGTTGGGTTGCCTATACCTTAAGACTAAGCCTGTTAGTTAACCCCATTGCTAGCTCACAGCCAGAGGACTCAGTGCCCTCACAGCAAAGGCTGTATTGATGTAGGGGAAATCAACATTGCTGGAAGGTCTGGAGGATGAGTCCTTCCCTGGGGAGTGAACTAAGCTCTCTGCCATCCTCCTGCTCTTTCAACAGTTCCTAACCTTGTCTGCATAGGGTATACAACATACACAGATGACAACCTCTGTCTCTCACATGGTTCTCTCTTCAACTAAACAGCAGCTCCTGCCTTTTGGCAGAGACCAGTTTTCCTTCACACCTTGCAGTGCTGGAATGTGACAAATACTTGTTCCAGGTGGGGGATCAACAGTGCTGACTAGTACAGAAACATTTCTCAAACAGTAAACACATGTAAAAACTATCCTATCGTTATCTTTGCCCTAAGGCTTATACTTGACACTCATCCATCTCTATCTTTGTTGGCTCATGCCCAAAGATGTATGTTTCTATTTCCACCTCAGGCTGGGGACTGGGCTCCTACTCTGTTAAGAAAAACAGGCACTACCCACTTGTGGAAACTCAGGATATTTAGCTCAGGAGTCTCTGGGAGGCAAAGGGAGGGAGTCTCCCCACACTGGGCTGGTTCAATGGAAGGATCCTTCCCCTCTGTCTTCTAACAGATTCAGATTAATGATCGCTCATTCCTAATTGTCAAATTTCTTTTCCTTCATCCTGTGTCTAATCACCAGTGACAGAAACCATTACGCAAATGAGAGCAGACGACTTCCCCCAACTGTTCGCATTGGTAAAAACCTTGTAATTTAGAGCTCTGATTTGTAGGGGAAGCTGGTCTCCCCCAGGCATCTTGGGCATCTGCTCAATGGATGCCCAACACAGCCCCTCCTCCACCCCAGAACTCCAACCCCCCAACAAATATTTGATTTTACAACAGTAGTTTCCACTGTACCTGCTAATATGAAAATGGGAGCCTGCAACATGGCTAGCTTCTAGACAGACCCAAGTCCCCACTTCCCTTGGCATGTCTGCCTGCCACACTGCCAACTAGGATGAGGTGAGCACTTATAGCAGCAATGTTTTCTCTGCTGCAAGCAGAATTTAAGCCTGAACAGCCCAACCTTAGGTAAGTGAAGGAAAAGAGCCCCCATCTCTTCCCTGGGGGAAGTGGCACAACAGAAAGTGAATCAAGTCAGAATGTAGAGCTAGAGCATCAACTCTATGATAAGAGATATGCTGAGGGGGAACTATGGAACCAGTTCAAGGTCACACAGTAAAGCATGAAAATCTAGAGCTTGATTTCCCACAGCTGCTCCCAGGACTGTTAGCTTTTAATATGGTTTCCCAGGCAGTTTCTCCAGATGTCTCTAGCCCCGTAAGGGCTTTCACTCTGAGCTGGATCTTCTGCCCTGTCTTGGGGTGAGCTCACCTATAGACACTCCCTAGTGGGTGAAGCCTGAAGACAGGGTTTGCGGTCCAAGGGAAGGTAGAAAATCAACATAATCTGGTGGAAAGGAAGGAGCATGGGGGTTGCAGCCAAACAGCACTTGCTTGCCACTAATCACTTAATCTCACTGAGCCCATTTCTTCATCTATAAAGTGAGAAAACCTATCTTGCAGGATAATGAGGAACATAAGCACTAGGCACATATTAAGTGTCTAAAAATAAGGAGTGGCTATTATTAAATCACCAAGAATCAGGACCAATCCTGTGAAGGTCCCGAAGTTAGTCTTCTCTCTCTCTCTCCCTCTTCCCCTTAGCCATCTTAGGCCAAACCTGTGTCAGCACAGCACCCTGTAAGGACCAACCAAGTGGTACCCACTCCCTGCTGTTTATCACCCACATCTTTAAGGGCTGAGCCAGGAATGCAGCAGACCTGCTGAGGAGAACAAAAATAATCTGCTATTTTTCCAAGTGTGACTGTGGCCAAGTTTATCGTCCATCTGTGTTGCTCTCTTTGCTGTGCTCCTCTTTCCCCAAAGAGATAAGAGGCATGGAGTTCACTGTAATCACATTTCCCAGCATTGGCTGTATTTGAAAGAGCTATACTTGAGAAGGTACCATGTCTGCACACCCACACTGCATCAGAGAACCCCAGAATGGGGCACTAAAATAAACACCCCCTCCCCCAGATACACACACAGGTGCTCACACGCATATTCATGCATCTTATCTTCTCAGGCCATCAGGGCACTGTAAACTGAGCTTCAGGGGTAGGAGCCATAGCTCAGACACTGGAAGTAAACCTTTGGCCAAAAAGAAGGTGGGAGGGAATACAACCAGACTTCCAACTTCCTCTTCTCTTCCTTAGAGAAAAGGATGATGGAGAACAGACTGGAAGTGAGTGGGCACTGGGTCATCACTCTGCCCAATTCCAGGGGCCCCAGTCCCACTGAATAGATGTGAATAATGGCCCTCTGAGTTGTGCAATACCCAGCTGCCCAGCTGTAAGCTGCAGCCCTGAAAAGGGTTCCCATGAGTAGCTAATAAAAGAAAAGGAAATTCTACTTCCATGCTCTACCAGTTGCCCTATTGAAGGTGTTGTATAACATTACATTGGGGTCTGTCAGAGGCGCTGGCTTTAAGAGGCAAGGGTACATTTTTGCCCTTGCTCTGAGGTGGATGAAAGGTAGTGAGTTAGCTGCCTAAGCTTGACCCCATGTCATCTACTCAGCCAGGAAGCTCAGCAGTAGGGGACACAGCCTGGACAGGAAAGGACACAGGACCTGGAGGCTATAGCCAGTCAGCTGCAGGCAGGTTGCAGGTTGACCTGACCAATACAGAATGGCTAAATCCAAGTTAAAAAGCTGAAGGCTAAATCAGCCAGTATCCAGGGTCTCACACTGTACTGTCACATTGGACAAGGCAAGCAGTAGAGAACCTTGGTAAGTAAGGAGGCTGGCCAGTGTGGACACACACACATACAAGTGTGCAAACAAGTACACACATGCATGCGTACACACACGCACAGAGGTTTGCACCCTTAGGGTCTAGAAAAGCCACAGCTAGAACTCCCTTGGTACCTAGCACAGGGGCAAGAGCTGGTGCTGAAAGAGAAAACTGTGTCTGTAATTTGGAACGTGTGCACAATCCTTGGTTCTTATGTTCCGAGGTTCCTCTCTATGTATGGCTTGAGCTTGTAGGTCTCAGCAGGAACCCTGTCTAGTCCTCTTTCATTATGCAGCTATCTAGGCTCCTAAAGGCAAGCCTCCCTCTCAAATTCCTCATTAGGGTCCCAGTAGCCATTCCTATCCCGCCTGGAGCCCAACTCTGCAAAAACAGGCAGGAGGCAGATTGATCTAATGGTCACTCACTTTGGCCCTGCAGCCCAGATGCTGTGGGAGTCCAGAAGCATCTCTTCTCTCAGGCTGAGGCACTGAGGCTCAGTGCAGGAGATAGGGCTGAGAACCAGAAGTGACATCCTGACCCAGAAGAAAACAAGGAGCAGATACATATGTGTGTGTATGTGTGCACACACACACTCACAGATCCCAAGGTTGAGAAACACACAGACATGATGACAATCAGAAGCTGGGACTCCACACACTGAATGCAGGACTTTAGGGGGGCAGAGAGGGAAGATGTTGGGGCACAAGAGGCAAGGATGAGAAGTCCCTCCAAATGGGAGTGGAGTGCCAACCATCCTGCCTCACCCCAAACACCTGCCTCAAGGGCCATGGCAAGAGTCCAGTCCATTAAGTGCAGCGTGCAATACTAGTGCTTGGAGTCTCCTGTCCTCATCAACGAAGCAGTGTGGACGGGATAGCAGTCACCTGGCAGAAGGCCTTGACCTCTGGCAGGCTAGTTGTATCGGCCCTTGATCATCGTATTCAACAAGGGCCCCACCTGTAAAGAGACATGAGGAGCCCATCAGAACCTCCTATCCCCTGGTCCTGGAGTTGGGTCTAGAGATACTAATGTCCAGCCAACTTGTGCACCCTCTATAATCATACTTCTTCCTGAAAGTCAACCCAGTATTCTGGGGCATGTTTTTACCTTCCCTCTCACAACACCCTGTATGTGTAAGCAGCACCAAACAGATAAGGTTGAAGGAGCTAATTATCCCCAAACACCTGAGAGTGCATCTGCACATTTCTCCAGTATGCGAGAAGAACGTTAAATTCCTTGCTAGCCTCAAAAAAAGATCACCTGCAACTGATGCCTCCCAATCCCAAAGGCAGCTCTTAATGCTGAGGGTACCCACAAAAAGGGAAGAGTATTATAAATACAAACCTCCCTCATTTACCCAATGGGCCAGCAGTGTACCTGCATGGAAAGCAGGTCTCTTAACACTACCTAGAGCAGTCTTGGCCCAGCTGGGAGAGCGCCAAGGAGATGCTTTATTACATACTTTCTGTTTCAGAAGAATCCCCTCAGGGGTCCCCAGCTGGCATATAAGCCCCATGGGGGACATTACTACTAGCATGGAACAGATTATAATTGATCCACCAGTCATGCCCAGCTCTCACTAGAAAACAAGGCTTTCCTAATAAACATACCCATAACCTCTATGGAAAGAGGACATCAGATACTGAGACAGAGAAGTTATGAGGAATGTCACATCAACACTAACTTACCTCTTGTGGGTTCCCCAAAGCCTCTCCAAGCATCTTCTCAATATTCCTCATGATGGCCACTTTCTGATGAGCTTTAAGAGGATATTCAATCCTCTTAGGAGTGGGAGCCCCCTACAAAGGATGCAGCAGCTCAGGAAATGACTTTCACAGCAGACTTCAGTGTCACCCCAGTGCTCCTAGTATCATCCTCCCTTTTAAGAAACGAATTCTATCCTATCCTTCTTCATCTCCCCAAGAGAGCTGGGAGTCACTTCAAGGGATGGTCAATCACTGTGTCCCAGTCAAAACCAACTATTACACCTATTTCACCTCAGCCCCAGTTATATCTAGACAAAAAAAAAAATCAACCATATTCACCTTATACCAGAAGTTCACAGTGATGGTAATTCCCCCATTTAGTAATGACTCTATGTGATGCCACCTGCAAGAACAAAATCAGGCTTTATTTTTTGGAGAGGATGGAAAACTAGGTAGAGCCAAGTTAAGGGAAACAACAAAGATAGTATCTTTACTCTCATCCTGCAAAACACACACTAGGCTAGAGGTGGTGGTGTTCAGTCTCTAAATACCAAAGAGGCAAGAACAGTTTTTTCAGCTGCAAGCCTCTGTGATTTCTCTGGGTTTGAGCAACTGTCCTCATTTCCTACAGAGAGGGTTGCCTTATCCCTAGTGGTTAAGTATGCTAACATCTGGACATGTCAACCTTCCAGTAGACCACATAAGACCAATCCTGCCACAACTCAAAAAGAACACAGATAAAAGTTTTCCAGGGAATGGAAAAGAAATTCCAAGAGGTCCCCATCCCTAGCTTCCTCCTCACCAGTACATTGGGATGTAAAGAACATCACCAGGGCCAACCACTGTTTCATAACCAACCACATTTTGGAAATTGGGGAACCTCTCGTAGTCAGGATTGTCAAAGTCCACCTAAGAAGGTTAAGAAAAAGAAAAAAGATAAGTCAATCATCAACACTTTACCAGTGACCATGTGCTTGTTACTTTGGCAGTTTAAAAAAAAAAAAAAAAGATGCCTTAAAAACGTCTTAAGAATTTATACCCAGCAGAAGACACAATGCATATTATCCACTCCTTTTCCCCCCACCATCAGAGAAAGACATAAAGCAGTACATGCTTAAGTGTTACATTATAAAGAATCCTCCAGGCTTCAATGTTCCTGGAGGTTCAAACCCTCCTTGATAGCCTGAGGATCTGAGGAATTAGGATTCATTTATCACCTTCAGAAACTTTCTCCCCAAACCAAATTCTAACCAGAAGACTGCCCAAAAAAAAGAAAAAAGGATGTCTATGGCTGGCCACAAAGTCAACCATATGCCTCACTAATATCCAGTAAATATCTGACTTTTATTCACCCTTCTCTGTATCAGAAAGAAACAGCATACATGACAAAAGAAAACAATGACTGGGGTGGGGAGGGGATTGAAGGGGAGAGACTATGGGGGCAATGTAACTAATGTACAATATAAATCTAATTGGAATTGTAACAATGAATCCCTCCTTATAATGAATATATCCTAATAAAAACAAAAGACCTGAGTATAAACAAAAAAAAGAAAAACAGTGATTAAAAAAGAAAACAGTGATTAAGTCCAATGGAAGCAAACTCATTTTGTTCCATGAACTTATAAGCCAATCAGTTACCTGAGTCCACCAGCATTAATGATGGGGTCTGTCCCCAAGAACTAGCTCTATGGGCTCATCTGGGGACCACCACAGGGGCCCAGAACGTGTGTTACACTATGAAATTATCCTCTGGGTTTGTCTGTAAGGTAAGACCAGCCCATATTCCAGAGCTAGAATACTACCATGGGAAAAGGGAAAAACATTCCAGCCTTTGCTCTCAAATGTACTCCAAGAATCTAGAGTTCTTCATCCTCCTCAGACGACACAAGCTCACCTGGCTCTGTCTGTCACATGGGTGATGGACAGGATATGGATAGAGGCACTCAAATTGATCCGGAGGGAATAAGATGCATCGCTTATGGCCTTTTATTTGAGCAAAGAAGTTCTGTTGTTCATCATAGTGAGCAGGTGTCACATTTCCTGCAAGAAGAAAGACATTTTCTTATCCAGAATTGTAACCCTACTGCACAAGTTAAACTCAGAGAACAGTGCTGGAGAGAAATCCAGCCTGCATTCCCAGCTAAAGGTTTCCAATCACATTTCAGGTAGAATGAGGGAAACTGCAATGACAACTCTTAGCAAATTAAGTTACATTTTATAGGTAGTAAGTCCAGCAACCATCACTGGGTAAGAGTCCAACGTCATCTAGCAAAAGTAGACTTTCCTAAATGATGGCTGCTGCCCTTAATGAAAAACACATTAAAATGACTCAGAAGTCTGGAAGGGTAATATACTAAGAACATTTGCACTCTTCTTGACTGTGTCAAGAATTCAAGGGAAGCAAAACAGAAATGACTGGTGCCAACCACGCATGCATGACCTACTCTGAGGAGTTAACCAGTCCTATTAAGTTACATGAATATGTCCTTGCTTTGGGCAACTCTTCTGTAGCCTAATGAATCTCAACATTTGCTCCCTCTTCACAACTGTAGGAGTCAACACTCCTCAGAACAACACTTGGGCTGCTGACTTTCATTAGGCGGAGGATTATCAGATTACTGAACAGACTGCTGTATAATTTAAGTAAGCCATATTATTTAAAATGCCACCTTGTGCCAGGCACTGGTGGCTCATGCCTACAATCCTAGCTACTTGAGAGGCTGATATGGTCAAGGTTTGAGGTCAGTCCGGGCAAACAGTTTGTGACACCTCATCTCCAAAACAAGAAAGATCACCAAAATGGACTGGAGATCTGGCTCAAGCAGCAGAGCACCTGAAGTTCAAACCACAGTCCCACTTAAAAAAAAAAAAAAAAAAGCCACCTGTATATTCCATCTACCCCTGTATAACTGGATCACATCTGTATTCTTTGCATAATTCTTGAGTTTAGAAAAGATCTCCCAGCCCAGCCTGGTTATGCCAAGGCAGCTGCCTTCTCAACTGCTGAGAGTCCATGTGCATCTTCAAAGAAGAGCTGTTCTCTCATCTCTACCTGAGGGATTCACTTTCCTGTACCTTACCTATCACAAGAATGGAAAAACTCAATCATGGGAACCAGAACTGGCTCCTTCATGGGAGACCAACCAAGAGCTTGTTTCATGGGGCAGCTGTCAATTCATAAGCTACATTGCTGGAAATCTTTATTAATACTGGCAGCAAAGGATCCAAATCTAAAGAAAGGACAATCACAGAAGAGACTTCAGAGCTCAATCAGGTCAATGCTTTGTTCAACAAAGTTTATTCACCATTTACTAAGTACCTACTGACAGCCTAGCACTAAGCTAGTGCTGGAAATAAAAATGAGACAATGAGGACTGGGGACATGGCTCATGGAAGACAGCTTGCTTAGCAAGTGCAAGGCCCTGAGTTTAATCTCCAGTACAACCCCATCCCCCAAAGACAGACAATGAGCATGCCCCATAAGTAGCATTCCTTCTAATAAATGGAGTTTAAACACTGCTTTTTATTTAAAAAAAAAAAAAAAAAAAGCAAACAGAAGATGACAATCACATATTTACTTATGTGTGCAAAAGATAAGGTTGAATCTATGTTGGAAAAATAAGTTTTCCTTTTTTATTGGGCTAAAAATCTTTTCAATACAGATAGATCCAATACAGACAGCAGCAATTCAGAGGTCCTAATAGCTCAGTCAGTATACTCACACAAGCACTGAGAAAGGGAAAAAGGGAGCTTATTTATTTAAAAGTACATGAAACTAGCTTTAAACATCATACCTATTCATAAGGTATTATCATGTTTCTTTTAAGCTGAGGCTTAAAAAAAGTTCAGTGACTTGTTAAATGACATGTAGCTAATAAGTGGTGGAGACAAGATTAGAAATCAGGTTTATATGATTCCTAGCCACACCTACCTACCCACCCTACCTCTCCCCCATCCCTGGAAGTTCTGGGATTTGAACTCAGGACCTCACACTTCCACTTGAGTTGGCACCCTACCACTTGCGTTACATCCCCAATCCTACTTTCTAAAAGATTTTTTTTTTTTTTTGGGGTGCAACTGGGGTTTGAACTCAGGGTTTTATGCTTGCAAAGCAGGCACTATTACTTGACCCACATTGCCAGTCTAAAAAACTTCTTACCTTCCATGCCGATGAGCAGCAGGTTAGAGGTCAGCTGCCCCCAGCCACGCTTTCCCTGTTGTTTATTAATCCAGTTCCAGTTAAAACCCAAGAAGTCCATGACAATCTTCCTGCCCACAGTGTCATTCAGAGTTTGCTGCAGATACAACCTACATTCCCCAAGGAGAAAATTCTATCAGTGCATGAACACAATCCTTGGCATGACCTCCCTACACCTGGAATACAAACCCAAATTCACACTAGCATCTCTAACGGAGAACAGCTACGATCATGAAAATCTTGACCAATGTAGATTCTTATAGAACTGAATTTTTATCTTTCCTCTGAGCTCTGCTTAACACTACAGCATTTTTTTTGTTTTGTTTTGGTGGGACTGGGGTTTGAAGTTAGGGATTTGTGCTTGCAAAGCAGGCACTCTACCATTAGCCATACCTCCAGTTCATTTTGCTCTGGTTATTTTGGAGATGGCGGGGGGGAGGTCTTACAAACTATTTCCTTGGGCTGGCCTCAGATCTGGATCCTTCCCATCTCAAGTCGCCCCAGTAACTAGAATTACAAGCATGAGCCACAGGCACCCAGCAACACCAAGCTTTTATAAAGTAATTTTTTACCTTCTGCATGAGTCCTTTTAAGAATCCAAGGTTCCTCATAAAAATGTACATACACACAATTTCATAATTTCCTGGAAGCCCATCACAAAGCCTAGAATGGTGAGTCCATCTTGCTGGAGACTCTCAAGGTCTGACACATCAGCTTTGGCCCTTGACGGCCACCAGGAGGTGGTCCCTTCCAATGGGACAGTTATTTTTCCATACCTGCTTAAGCCAATCTTGCTTATTTAACTTTTCTCTGACCAATGAAATGTCAACAGAAGTGATTTGTGTTGCTTCACACTAGCCCATCATATTCCTTCTGCCACAGCAACGGCAAAACTTCAGATAGTAGCTAATGGGCCAATTTGGGTACCAGAGTCAGCAAGATGATGTCACCCATGAAGAACATGTGAAAAGAGATCTTTGTTGTTTCCAGCTTGAGCTCTAGCTTGAAGCCTAGTTTATCTTAACTGATTGAGCCAGATATCAGTAACAGCCTTCTACAGCCAAAATAAGGAGGACACTTCATCAGGTATATGCCCTAGGCTCCTAACATACCTGAGGAAAGTCATGAGTTACTCAAGGGATATGAAAACCCACACTTGCTCAAGCCCCACAAGAGGCATTTATAAGTGGGCAGACTTGAAGAGACAGAGCAGCCTTCTCCTGGCCTTAAGAACATTAATTCAAAAGGTTCAAAGGCATCTCATACCTAAAATCATAATGATTAAGGCATTATTAATTAGAAATCTTAGTAAGGAGAAAATACTAGACTCAAATAGAATCTTTGGACTCTCTCTAGAGGTTATAATATGCACATTAACGAACAAATTTTACAAGTAACTTTAAAGAGTAAGAAGCCCTTCCCAGACATTAATCTAAACAATATTCCTATTACTCTTGAATAATGAATGCTCAAAATAGCAGGAGGATTTGTAACCCTTTTACCCAATCAGAACAACCTGTACAATTATATAGTGGAGTTGGTTGGTACTAAAGTCAGCTGACAAGGCAAAACTTGCAAAAAAGCAGAAAATTTCCCTTGAATCACCAGTAAGATACACATTACCCTCATATTTCATACTTAGTGAGGCAAATGCTCTCACTATAGACAGGAAGATATTTCCACAATCAGAAGATTCACGTCTTATCTCATACTTATTCTAGGGCACATGTTCATTCAAGGGCATTGCACACCCCAACAGCACCACTTAAATCAATTTCTCTCTCAATGTTGGGTGTGTGAATATGCAAGCATGTGCATACATGCCATGTTAAATTTGAGAAAGTCAACACAAAAGGTGATTCAAATGAACCAGTCTTAATAAGACATAAAGGACAGATCAATCACACTGCAGATTTTAGAAACTCTTTTGGTCCAAGGCTCAATATGACAACTGCAAAGTGTCATGAAGAAGAAAACCAGGTATTTCTAATCAATTCACATACTGATCACAAGGAGCCAGCAAGGGAACCAAGGCAAGAGAATACAGAGAAGCCCAGGTGTGACACCAAATGTGGGGCTGTCATTCCCTACAAAGTACTCAGTGAAAGCAACTTCCCAGAGGCAATTTCATAGTGTGGGACTGAGTGCTGGCTGGGACCTACACAAGGGCTCTCAGAAGTAGGGATAAAAACAAAGGGGAAAAAAAAATCATTCTCAAGTGTATCTTGGGCTGCAGGTGTGGCTCAAGTGGCATAGTGCCTGCCTAGCAAGTGCAAAGTCCTGAGTTCAAACCACAGTACTGCCAAAAAAAAAAAAAAAAAAGCGTTTGTTATCACTGGTACAACATGGAGTATCAACAACCAATCTAATCTGATCTTCCCCTAGAGGACTCTGACATTCTTAAATCCAAAACCACAACAAACTACTCAACTTTTCAGCTTGAGCTGTTCCCAACCAGCACAATTTTTTAGGCTGCAAACTGGTGATCTCAGAACTAAATCCAAGACAAACAGTTTTGTTTGCTCTTCTATAGCTTTTTTTTTTTATTTATTTAATTAGCTGCCCACACTTGGGATCCTCATTTTAAGCTTGTTTTGAAAAACTGGAATATCTAGTAACCCTGGAACAACCCTCCAAATGGAAACAAGCAAAGTAATGACTTCTCGCTTTGAAAAGGTTGTCTTCAGCTACATTAGTTTATATCCAGACAAGTTCACTTATTTCGTTCACCTTCCTGACCCTTCAAGGCAACTTTGACTCTCACTGTTTGAGGAAAATGAGACACTAGATATTAAAAGTTCAAGTCTAATTGAATTTTCTCACCCCTCGAGCTGCAGAAAACTGTTTGTAGCCTCCAAAACCACTAAGAACAATTCAACCCCCTTACAGGACAGAAGAGCAGAATATTCATTCAGGAGGAACCCAACTCCTGAACGCCAATCTCTACTCATCCAATTCTGCCACACCTTCAAACAAATACAGGAAAGGCAAGTGGATGCCCTAAATTCACTGGAAAACCAAGGTCAGTGAATTTACCTGTCTTCACCTCCTCGCTGCTGTATATCCTGCAGTTTCTCAACAAACTCATGAAATTTCATTTCCTCCCTGTTGGACCTAGGCTTAAAGTTCTGGAAATTAGTCATCTTCTTCTCATCATAGTATAAGAACTTGTGTGTGCTGGCACTGTACACAGAGAAGTCTCCATTGCCGATATTCTCTTGCAGGTATTCCAGGTCCCACTTCAGGGCAGGATATACAAGATTTGTGTCGGTCAGCACCACAGGCTCCTAAACGAAAACACCAGGTGAAAAAAGCAAATGCAGTTATCCCAAGAAGCTGGTGGGTTCTCCTCTCCGGATTCCAACTACTTTCCAACTTCAGAACAATCGCTCCCTTTACGCCGCACAAACTCATGTACCATTTCTCCTCGCCTCTCTCTCCATGTCCCCTTGAGTCTCAGTCCACGAAGCAGCCAGCCCCCCTACCTCTCCCACCATTCACCTCTGCCTTCTCCTCCCAACTGGTCCCTTCCTCCTCCCCTTAGAGCCGGCCCCGCCCCCCACCTCGTTCTCGATGAGCTCCTCCGCCCGGGGGTCGCTCTGACTCAGACGCGGGATGGGCCGGGTCGGGAAGCTGTAACTGCGCAGCTGGGATTCATCCCAGACGGGGCCCGGGGCCTCAGTTTCTTCCCGGGGCTCGCCAGAGCCCGAGGCCGCAGCCTCCGCAGCCGTCGCCGCCATCTCCGCGCTGGGGACGACCCCACCGGAAACGGAAGCTCCGCCTTTTCCGGACTAAACCACAACGGAAAACATAGAGATTAACTGCATGAGAGAGCGGTCCGGACACATTAAGAAGGCGAGGCCCTGTCCTGGAGCAGCGCCTCCTAATGGTAACCTACAGCTCTGCATCCCATGCTCCACTCCTGGAGAACTGGAGCTACACTTTCTTAAAAAATAAGGTTGTTTTTGTTTTTTTTTTTTTGGCTTAGCATCATTTGATTTTTCTGCCTTTGTCACCATCTCTTCTACTTGAATATATTTTGCCATGAGACCAATGTTATTATTAGTGGCCAGCTATGGGCACCCCACATTTTCAAACAATTCATAAAGGTTATAAAAGGCCCTATCAATTACCTATATTGCGTGCTTAGGCAATTCTTATGGCTTGATTGTAGGAGGCCTGATTCTAAGATGGATCCCAAGACTTGCACCCCATTGTGTGCATAACTTATATAAATCTCCCCCCTTAAAGGAGAGCAGGACTCATGAATATGATAGGACATCATTCCTGCATTTAGGTTACATTATATGGCAAAGACAATTAAGGCCCCTAATCAGTTAACTTTGAGCTAAGCAAAAGAATTATCCTGAGTGGGGTAGGCTTTATCACTCCAGTCCTTTAAATCTTGACGGAGTGGTCCGAGACAGAAGTCTGGGAAATTCAAAGCCATGCTGTCTTATTTTCCTTGAGGAAGCAAAGTGCCATCAATCAAGGAATTATAGGTGGGCTTTATAATCTGAGAAAGACCCTTGGACAGCCAGAAAGAAAGAGAGGAACTTAGTCTTACGAGTACAAGTAACTGAATTCTGCCAACAACCACACTTAGAAAAGGACACAAAGCTTCAGATGACCCAGCCAACATCCTGATTTCAAACTGGTGGGACCCTAAGCTGAGGACCCACCTAACTGGCAAGAGACGTCAGGGAAAATGTGAGATTATAAATTGGTGTTTGGGCTGCTAAATTTATGGTTTAAGTACATTAAAACAAATTTTAATTTATTATGCAGCAAGAGAAATTAATACAGCAGCTTACCTGTGTAACTATGCTACATAATAATTATAAAACAACCAATCTAATAACAGGATTATCTCTGGTAGGGTTTGGGGCTGGAGATGACAAGAAAGGCTTTAATTTTATCTGTGCTGTTTGGATGTTTACAAAAATATGTTAATTTATAACCATGGAAATTAAAAATGAATTAGACTTAGAAGATTCAAATTATTAATATCAGAAATGAAAGAAGGGACATGATACTGACTTCACAAAAATATAAAGGCACATATAAGGGCATACTATGAGCATCGTATGCCAAAAATTAGACCTAGATTAAATGGTAAAATTCTTAGAAAAGCACAAACTATCATAATTAACTCAAGAAGAAATAAAAAAATCTGACTAGACCTATAATAAGATTGCATTAGGAATCAAAAGACATTTTGTAAAGAAAATCACAAGACAAAATAGATTCATTGATGAATACTACCTAACATTTTAAAAAAGAATTACTACCAATACTTCACAAACTCTTTCAAAAAGTAGGAAAAGAGGGAACACTTCCCAACTCATTCCATGAGGCCAGTACTATCCAGATATCAAAATGAGAAAGACATCGCAAGAAATCTGTAGACCAATATCCCTCCCAGATATAGATGCAAAGATCCTCAATGAAATACTAGCAAACAAGGCAAGGTGTGGTGGGCACACCTGCAATCTCAGCTATGTGGAAGGCAGAAGTAGGAGGATCATGGTATAAGGCCCATCCCAGGCAAAAGTAAGACTCTACCTGTAAAATGAAGTTAAAGGGGTTGGGGCATCGTTCTTGTGGCAGAGTGTTTTTCTAGCAAGCACCAGGCCCTGAGTGCAAACCCCAGTACCGCAAAAACAAACACAAAAACTACCAAACCAAATCCAGCACCATATGAAAAGGATTATATACCATTGCCAAGTGGGATTTGTTCCAGGAATACAAGGTTGGTTTAACATCTGAAAATCAATATATGTAATGCACCATATCAATAGAAGAAAACAGGTTCCAAAGGCCACCACCAAGAAAGTAAAAAAGGCCAGGCGCAGGTGGCTCATGCCTGTAATCCTAGCTACTTGGGAGGCTGAGATGAAAAGGATCACAGTTTGAGGCCAGCCCAGGTAAACAGTTTGGAAGACCCCATCTCCAAAATAACCAGAGTAGGGCTGGTGGAATGACTCAAGTGGCAAGAGCACCTGCCTAGCAAGTGTAAGACCCTGAGTTCAAACCCCAGTGCTGCCAAAAATAAATAAATAAATAACCAGAGCAAAATGGATTGAGATGTGGCTCAAGAAGTAGATGTGACCAAGTAGAGTAGAATGGACAAAGGACTGGAATAGCCATTTCTCAAAGAAGTTATATTGTGGCCAACATGTACATGTTCAGGGAGAAGAGAAAAATTTATCCCAGAAGGAAGTCTTGGAGGGATCACAAAAATTTCTGTACATGGGAAAAGGAAGAATCATCCATCACTGTGTAAATGTAAGTTGTGTATTTTTTCCAGATCTGAGGAAAGACTAAGGTACACATAAATGGAATCCAAGTCTTGGAGATGAGAAAGGAAATTCTCAGCCAGGTGTGGTGGTAGAGTCCTCTAATCACAGCACTCTGGAGGCTCAGACTCCTTGGAGGATTGAGAGTTCAAAGCTAGCTGAGACCACGTAGTGAAACCCTGTCTCAAAAAAAACAAACCATGGGCTGGTGGAGTGGCTCAAATGGTCGAGTGCCTGTCTAGCAATTGTGAGGTCCTGAGTTCAAACCCCAGTGCCGCCAAAAACAAAACAAAACAGGAAGGTAATTCTCAGGTCCTTTCTTGTACAACTTATCTGTTTATGATAGCATACAGTCCCTTACTCTTCCTAATAAACCCTTCCTTCCTTCCTTCCATCCTTTCTCCTTCCCTCCCTCCCTCCATCCCTTCTTCCTGGATTCTCAACATCATTGGTCTCCAAGGTAATGCAAGTGAAAGTGACAATGAGATGCTACTATGGTTTGATTGTGTCTCTCCAGAAGCATGTGTTGGAAATCGAACTCCCAATGCAACAGTGTTGAGAAGTATGACCTAATGGAGGTGTATGGGTCACCCGTGCTTCACTTTCATGAATTATACCCATTATAAAAAGACTTGGGGCTGTGAGTTTGACACTGCTTGCACACATGATGTCTTGCCCTTCCACCTTTTGCTTCTGTTACAGAATGACACAGCAAGATGGTCCTATCCAAGGCCTCAACCTTGGATATCCCAGCCTCCAGAGTAAGAATATATCTTGTTTCTTTCAAAATTACCCAGTCTCAAAATGGACTAAGACAGTTAACCATTCATACCTACTAGGATGGCTATAATAAAAGATAGCCAATAGTGAGTGTTGGTAAGGATGTAGAGAAATTAGTACCCTCACACACTGCCAATGGGAATGTGAAATCATGTAGTTGCTTATAAAAGCAACCTGAAGGAGTTTCTGAAAGTGAATTGCTATACCCCAGCAATTCTACTCTTAGGATATTGAAAACATACATTCACATAAAAACTTGTACAAGAATGTTCATAGTGACATTATTCATAATAGCCAAAAAGTGGCAATAGCCAAAACATCCATTAACTGATAAATGTATAAATAAAATGCCATATATCCATGTAACTGAATATCATTTAATCATAAAAAGGAATGAACTACTGACACATAGTGCAACATAGACAAACTTTGAATACATTACACTAAGTAAAGGAAGACAGACATAAAAGGCCACATATTGTATGATTCCATTTATATGAAATGTCTCTTTTGAGACAAAGTAGATTAGTGATTTTTAATGGGTGGAAGTGGGGAGAATGTGCTAATGGGTATGAGGTTTCTTTCAGAGATGATGAAATGTTTTAGAATTAGATAGTAGTGATGCTTCCACAACTCTAATGAAAGTATTCTAAGAATCACTTCATTGTGTACGTTAAATGGGTGAACTGCATGGAATGGAAATGATATCATAATAAAAATAAATTAGACCAACTTTGTTTCTCAACCCAAATAAGATCAGGGCTTGCTATTGGTTGAATGTAGATGTTATGCAATTATTTCTGATGTTTTCCAACTACTTCTACTCATTTACAAGAGGGCAAGTTGCTCTGCAGTAGTCCTTCCCAAAATTTATATACTGAATAGTATTATTGCTCTGGCATATATTTGAAATGGCTTCTGCTCCAAAACAGTGATCATCCTAAGAGCTGCTGGAAATACAAGCATATTCATAATGTATAAATTATTCAACCCCCACTACTGTAAACAAAATGAAAACCGATGCAAACATGCCTCCCATTCTTCTGTTGAGTTAGTTTGTTGTGACTGGTTTGAAATCTATTCATCCAAGTCATAATAGATTGGAGGCTTTAGGCTGTTTCAGGAGAGCTGCTTGTGGAAATAGGTTTAGTTTTACATTTATTGGATTGAGGTGACCAGGACAATTAGATGTAAACACTAAATTTGAGGTAAAACTGAAAACCAAGGCAAAACTGAAAGCCAAGGCAAGGGCGATTTATGAGTTGCACTTAGCATCTAAAGGAAAGATCAATTTGGGGAACAGAACGAGCAAAATTTAGGCTAAATTTGAAGAATGACCACGTTTGGGGATGGAAGGTGGAAGGGGCAGCAAAGGAGAGGAAAAAGGCAAGCAGCTGGAGAAAAGAATAAGGCTCATTCTACTTGTACTGCTGTTGGGGCAGGAGGGCCAGCTGTCCACCTGCGATTCTCAGGCTTTGAGTCCCCATTATCCCTGGATGGGTCTCAGGGAGGAAAGGGACCCAACAATCCAAATATTATAGAAGTGGCTTGCCTGTTTTCTCTGCTTCCGGGTAGTCCCCTTGGCTTCCATCAGGCGCCATGTTTAAAGTGCACAGGGGTGAAAACTTGAAGGCGTTTCATCGCTGCACGCATCGGCGGCGGCGTCTGGCTCCACTCGGCCGCCGTATCTGGACTATGCGCATGCGCGGAGCAAGCCAGGTGGGAAGGTGAAGATGGCGGCCGCTAGGGCGAGGGTGCTGGGGGCGCGATGGCTGCAAAAGACAGCCCGGAGCGTGCTACCACTTGGGGCACGGACAGGTCGGCGAAGACGGGAGAGGCTTTGGCGTGGGAAGGGGATGCCTGAATCTTGGGGTGTCTGGAGGTGGGGGGGAGGATCGTGGACACCGTGTGGGGGGCGGAGGTGACATGGGATGGATTCCGGGTTTCGGCGTCTGTAGCAACTGCGGCTCAGAGCCTTCCTGACGGCTGGAGAGCGGGGTCGGGCTGACCTGCTTGTTTCTGCGCTCCAGCCTTCCACATGACCAAAGACATGCTGCCAGGGCCCTATCCGAAGACCCCGAAGGAACGGGCCGCCGCCGCCAAGAAGTATAACATGAGGGTGGAAGACTACGAGCCTTACCCGGATGATGGCATGGGGTGAGGTGCAGGTCGGCTCACGCCTGGGCAGTGGTGAGAGAAGACCGCTGGGTTGGGTGGCAGGACGCTGACCCTTTCACCTGAACTGTCGGGTGACCCTTCTTGAGTCGTTGTGGGCGGTTTTCTTGGTGGAGGGAGGTGAGAGTGGGTGGGAGAGCAGCTGTAGCCGGGAGGACTTCAATTTTCTCCTTGGCTCAGGTTGTTTCCTCAAATGAGGAAGCTGAGGTTTAATGGCTCCCTCGAGGACCCCCGAATAGCAGGAACCTTCCTTGGCTCCATCCACAGTGCTGGGTTTCATTTAGATTGAGCATCTGCTCGGCTCAGGTGTTGTCACCCAGGCACGTGACCAGGCTGGAGCTGGACTCCTGCCATGACAGTCTTATTTGTGGATGGAGTACTTTAGATTTGTGTGTATGTTGCTCTTTGAAAAAAAAATTTTTTTTGGTTTGGACTGTGGAAATCGCAGCAACTGTTAGGCAGATTTAACAGCCAATCCCCTTTGTCCAGTTTCACCTTCACTTCTTGTGCTAGCATCACTCTTTCAATCTTGATTTCAGTACCTTCTATTCTTGTTTTCCATTCATTTACGTGATGCATGTCTAATTGTCATCATTTCCTTTTTTTTTTTTTTTTAATTGTCTTGTGGACAGAAACAGCCTTGTTAGCAGTCTGTATAAAGTGAACCTGGATTTGTTGGGAGAAACCCAGCTAAGCAAGAAGTCCCATGAGGTGTTTGAGGCATGGAGATGTATGCCAACTCATAGCTAAGAAACACAGTTTTTATGGAAAAGCATGCTTTTTTAATCTTTACTTTTTTGTTTTTACCCCAATTAGCTGGGTAACTTTGGATTCAGACCTTACATTTTAGTTTCATTTTCTATGTGATGAAGGAATCAGAATAATGAATTGCTAAATTTCTCTTTAGCTCTAACATTATAGAATTGTGTGACTTTTTCCTTTCTGAAAGAAGGTAAGGAAAGCGTTTACATTATAATGTTCTAGAGTTTGACATGACCTTTTAGTTACAATTTGGACTTTTTTGGTTAGTTCTGTGCTTAGAGATTAGAACTTGTGGTTTTGATTTGAGTCAGTTCCTTTGTCTCTAGGCGAAGTAATTATATCTGTTGCTTTTTTTTTTTTTTTCTTCTCATCTCGGAGATGAGGACTCAATTGTTTGAGACTCATCACAGCCATTTCCAAAAATTCTTGCTATCTCTTAGGTATGGTGATTACCCCAAGCTCCCTGACCGCTCACAGCATGAGAGGGATCCATGGTACGACTGGGACCACTCGGACCTGAGATTGAACTGGGGTGAACCGGTGAGAAAACCTAGCCCATTTCACCTTTCTCACCTTTTCCCTTTGTCTTTAGCTTAAATAGCACTAAGCTATTCTGCTCAAGGAAGCAAGGTCTAGTGCTCTGAGATATGAGGTTCTACATGGGGCACATGGAAGAGGATTTCCATGTGTGTCAGACCTGGCTCTCAAAAAATTGCCCCAGGCAATAGAATGCTTAAGCTTTGAATCAGGCTCTGATCACTCTGGACTGCCTGCCTTTTGCAGGAAGAGCAGTTTGTGACAGTTACCTGCCTTTCTGCCTCAGATACACTGGGACCTAGACATGTATATCAGGAACCGAGTGGACACATCTCCCACACCTGTGTCTTGGGATATCATGCGTAAGCAGCTTTTCGGCTTCGTGGCTTTCATGATTTTTATGTTCTGGGTTGGGGAGACTTTCCCCTCCTACCAGCCTGTGGTAAGTATCTGAGAAGTGCCTCCTTTGGCACATTTGCTTAGCTTACTTTCCTGAGGGAGTGAAGTCTCTGAACTAGGGAGCCAACCAATATCAACCTTCTTAGAGTCTTAGGAGATAGGGAGCCAAAAAAACCTTACCTCCAGGGCTGGCACAAGTAGCAGAGCACTGCTCTACCCCTGCTTTTTGGACTAGTCAAGTGAGAAGATGCACCTTAGCACTAGGTGAGGAATGAGAATGTGTAACCAGCTAGAGTTGTCATTTGAGGATTGCACTTCACTAATTTTATTTCTGCAAGTTATCTTTTAAGGAAGAATCGAGGAATCTAGAGCTGAAACCTTATCCTTTGTTGGACATGTGAAGGGCACTTCCTGTAGGATACTGAAGTATCTACTGCATAAACAGTTATAATACAGAGACTGTGAAGGACATAGAAAATATACTCTCTAGATTTAAGGAGGTTTAAGAAAATTTAGATAAATGACACATTGAGCAGCATTTGAACAGATACGTGGGTGGTTGGCATGGTTTATGTGTATGGGTGTGTATAGTGAATTTTGTGCAAAGTTGTATGAGCCCTGTCCTTAGTACGGTTAAAGCTAGATGCTAAAATACAGGATTTGGGTGGTGGGGAGAAGTTGGAGGAAACATTTGGGGCAAGAAAGGAGAGAAAAGGAGGGTGAGTTGGGTGAAGTAGAAGAGGTAAATAAAATAGTTTCTAGATAACCAGCTGTATTGGTTTCCTAGAGAGCTGCCAACAATTCAGATTCCTGGGTCTTCTTGGAGATCTATTTCAGTAGCTCCACAGTGGGGTTCTAGAATCAATTTCTTTTTTTCAAATTATTATTTTTATTTTATTTTTTATTATTCATATGTGCATACAAGGCTTGGGTCATTTCTCCCCCCTGCCCCCACCCCCTCCCTTACCACCCACTCTGCCCCCTCCCTTTCCC